TAATACACTTAGTCAAGTTCCTTTGTATCCATATCATGATTTACATTCGTCTTTACCTGAATTATACACTCCCACAATTACCCACTACTAACACTACAAAACCACTATTACCAACAATCATAACTGAATCAATAGAGTTACATCATCATCAACTACACCTATCACCATATTTAAGTTATACTAATAACAATACTAATACTACTACTCATATAAATAATATCAAGCCTTCAATTCCTATTAATGTTAATTATAATTTACATCCCGAAACATTATCAACTTCGCAACAACTCAACTCGCCAATCACTCCTGAAACTGTAGAATTTCAACAACAACAACAACATAATAATAATAATAATAATAATAATAACAATTCACATCGTCGTCTATATTGTCATAATCGTCATCAATCCCATAATTCAGATAATCTTACGCCAAATACGCCAACTCAAATATCTAGTTTACATCAACAACTTTTTCTTCACCATAATAATCATAATAATAGTAGCGGTGGTGGTAGTCATCATCATCAACCTTATTGTCAACAACAACAACAACAACAAAATCATGTAACGCCAAGTTGGACAATTCAACCGAAAATTTTATTTGTAAGTAATGACATCAAATTATGTGAAGACTCCATAAATTTTTTGACATTGTATGGATGTAGCTGTGATGTCGCCGAAGATGGATTATCAGCGATTAATAAAATAAATATTAACTATTACGATTTAGTTTTTATGGATACTTTAATGCAAAATTTTGATGATGTAAACACAATAAGGCAAATAAGAGCTTTCAATCAAAATGTACCAATAATAGGGATGTTAATATTAAATAATAATAATAATAACAACAGTGGTGATGATGTTGGTGGTGGACGTCGTAATGGTATTATTAGCAAGGATAATGATAATTCAAGGAACGATAATGGTAATGAGAACAATGATTATTTAAATTATTTACATGATAATTATATACGTAATGGTGTAACGGATATCCTGTCGAAGCCTTTTACAATGCAAGGACTTTATAACATGATAGATAAATATTGTAGCAACAATTTAAATCACTCTCTCAATAATAATCATTATAATAATAATAGTAGTAGTAGTAATAATAATAATAAAAATAATATATTGTAATCATCACAATTTAATCGACAAAAACAACAAAATGATGACGATGATGATGACGATGATGATGGAAAAATGAACTATTTTTTTTTAAAATTTAATATTAATAAATATGAATTCTATTATGGAATAAATTTGGATAAGAAAATTAATTAATCGAAATTTTATTACATATTCTCTATGTAAATACATACATAAATTACAACACAAACATACACACACTTATTATGATATGTTTTTAAAAAAAAAAAAAAAAAAAAAAAAAAAATATAAACAGCAAAAGAGCGAGCAAAATTGGCAAACGATATATATATAAATTTACATAAATATATACATATTATACACGCACACATACAATATATATGTATATATAGTAATAGACACAATTAAATTCTCATTTTTATTTTTTCATTTGTAATTTTTTATTTTTATTTTTTCGTATGTAAATTAATTTTGTATGTATTCAATTTATATGATTTTTTTTTTACAAAAAGTATTTTGTGAATGAATGGTGGTGTGTGGCGACGAAAAGATAAATTCAAAACCACATGGAAGTTGTGTTACAAAAATAGATTATCAAACACGAATAATTTCTTGATAATCTGATTCACGTGTTTAAAACAAACCAAAATGTAAATAAAAAAATAAACAATATTGTTTAATACATAACGTACGTACGCACGCACGCACGCACGTTCGTTCGTTCACCCACATTCATTGACCCCCGCTATTTGTTACAATATTTTTGTATATAAAAACTTTTAAGGGCTTGACACGTGCGTATACCAAATTGCGAACTGGGCAGACAAAACCTTTTTTCAAAATACGATGGCGGATTAACGTAATAAACAAAAAGTGTTATATGAAGAAGCGAGAAAAAAGAAAGGGCTTAATATTTTTTGTTTAATATATAAAAAACGATTTAAAAGTGGTAGGTAGGCACATTATAAAAAAAAATTATAAAGATCGCTCTCATTAATAATACAAATATTTTTTTAAAAAAAA